ATTCTTTGAAATATAAAAAGTACTCTTCAAAATTCCATCCCTCTCAAAAACACATCCTTGTCAGCTAACTAATCAAGGGATGCTTCTCACAATCAGTTACATTCAATATCCACTCTCATACAAATGAAAACAAATCTTGGGCCTGGAATTAAACTCTTTTAAATTATGCTACTCAAAGTATTATATTTTAACAAGCTCTATGTGAAGCACCACATGTGACCACTTTAACGCCATCAGTCCATCTGTTATGTGAATGCAGTCCTCTACAATTAAGTGACTAGCAGCTATCATAAGATCTGCATTAGGATTTTTTTCCAAAGATGACAGTAAAGCACTGAATTGGCATTCTCAATAGATATCTATTCCTTGAAAAATTTGAAGCATGCAAACTTCTTAAAATGAGACATAAAGAACCTTAAAAGAAATAAAACCCACCCAATACCAACAGAAATATCTCTCAAACAGAATAAGTCACAATAAAATAAAATCATAGAATTTGAAAGTTCTAAAAAATTAAAACAATTAAAAGTAGTTTACAATCTACAGTACGATGTGACTCAATTGAAAGCTGATATTTACACACATTCAATTTTACTGGTACAGTAATTACATGTGATGTGGTACTGGCCAAAGCTTAAATGCACAAAAATTCATACAAAATAACACCAATTCTGGCAAATTTCTCTCCCTGAACCCCTACAGATGCAACAATGGTAAGTGGCTAGTCTCAATTTCGAATCTAGTTAACTGAATTCACATAACTTTGCATTCAAGGCACAGTTTTTCCATCATAAAGGGCCATACAACGGAACTATGTATTTATAGTTCACTGTAGATTAAAGAGTAAAAAGCAATGTGTGCTTCCACACTTACAAAATGTAAAAGTACAATACAATAATAAATTAATGACAAACTTTAAAACAGTTTACAGCAAAACCCGTCCCAGCCCACCTATGAACATGAGGCATAGTGCTTCCACATAATTAAAAGTCATTAGTTTGGAAAAACTGGCAGTAAATACAAGTTTATACAAATAAAAATATTAAGCTTTGTATTGCTGGAAAACTCCTGCACTGTTATTAACAAATGAATGATGACACAATTAAAAATAATGATGGTACAAAGTGATAGGGAAAGATCATGAGGCAAAGAAATGCCAAGTGTCAAACATAGTGTAGCTTTGCAGAATGAGGTGGAGGTTGGATGCCAACCTTGTGATGAAAAAGATGAGCGACAGAACATACTCAACACTCTCAACTGTAAAACAAGGAAAAAAGAATCAATATGAAGGAGTAGCAATCATAAACAGAAGTGTCAAATAAGACTGGCCAATTTGCTCAACTGAGAAATGACCCAGCCACTAGCACTTACTTTTTCTTGAGTGTGAAAAAGCTACGTCTTTTTGTATCCTCTCTGCGCTGCTCTGTTGATGCTGGTAAGGTTTGGGCTCGAGATGGTCCAGGAGATCCTTGCATTTCACAGGCCTGAGCAAGACTTGTTACCCATTTTGATCTTTCATTATCATCCTTTGCTTGGAACAAATATTCAGCACCAGCGCTTAGTCTGAAAATGGTAAATTATGGGGTAAGATTGTGGGACAGTACTTGCTAAAAGTTTCAATGAATTGGGGTAAAAATATCATACTTAAGCCTGAAGACATGTTTCTTTTTAGTGTAGTCTTCCGCTGTTTCACATGACCCTCCTCTAAGGTCAGCTGGACTTTCATTTTTAAAGCAGATTCCAGGTGCTGAATTGTATGATTTTTGGTCCTTGTAGGCAGAGAGGAGGTTCCCTCGCAGTACAATATATACCTTATCCCATGATCTAGAAAAGAATATTTAAACAATTGGAAAATTAGGGAAATATATTAGAGAATAAAAGTAGAAAAACAAGTGCAAAATGTCAAGAAATCTTACCTGTTAGATGCTTTCTTAGTCTGACTCTCCCAAACAGGTTTCCGGGTCAAGACTCCTTCAAGATTGTTGGATGGTGTTGATTCTGAAGGTGGCAAAAAAGAATAATTATCAGCACTAGGAAACAAATCAAGATCACAAACAAGGTTTACAACAGTTTCACTGGCTACACCAAGTCAAATACAACTCCGATAGTTGGCGGATGAGAAATCTGAACACTAAGAAAATAGGATGTACAGTATATAAACCAGCTCTCGTGCCAAAAATCTGCAAAGAAGGAAAATTTTGCTTGAACAAAAGTTCATAGTTATTAACTGCATCTGTAAATTGAGACCATAACTAACAAAGTAACAAAATAATCATGTATATATGTTGCTAAAAACAAAAAAAAGCTTCCCATGCTCAAATGCAGTACTTTTCAAATGAAATTAATTTGAAGAAAGGTCATGCAAATATCTGCACACTCAAAAGAGAGAAGCATACAACTAAGGCAACCAGTTTGTTCATGGTTCAAGCTAAAAAGCTACAACACTTACAGTATTCATACCTTACTTTCATTCCTTCATTTCTGAACTTGCAGATCTTCATGTAAGGCTTTCATTTTAAAAGGAAATATTTATTAATATGCTACGTTAGGATGCTGACCGGGAACTTATATTTTGTACAATATGAGAAAAAGAAAAGAAATGAGGGCGACTCCCTATGGGTAATGTAAGCAAGAACTACATTCTAACAACAGGGTTGCCACGAAGTCCCAGTTTCCGAATATCCTGACATTTTCCTGACCAAATCCTGACGAAAAAGTGACTTTATCCTGACATTTTCAGAACAAGTTGACAGCAAAATAGCGCTATTTTTCAGGGGTTAAGAGAAAAATTGGGTATTTTTTTTAGGAAAAATATATCAGTGGCGCACTACCACAGCGCCACGCCTCTGGCCGAAGTAGCGCCGAGCATAGGGCGATAACCGGTACGAACCATTTATCCTGACACTTTTACCCCAAAATCCTGACATTATCCTGATTATCCTGACAACTTTTGTAAATCCTGACAAAATTCTGATTATCATGATTATCCTGACGCGTGGCAACCCTGTAACAATTGATAATTTAAAATTATCATTAAATAGAAAATAAACTTAGAATCAACAAAGAAACACAGTCTTTGGTGTTGAAAATACACAGAAGTGTTTCCTCAAAATTTTCTTAAGTATATTTCAGTTACCAAAGGTAGTGAACGGAAGAGCAAGTTGGTGCATACTAACCTGCCCTCTCTATGTTGGACTCATCATCACTGGCGCTGGTTGGAGCAAGAGTTGGGCTCTTAGGTCCAGAGCCCTTCTTCCAGCGGAAACTTCTGAAGGGTGACTTTGAACGCGACCGATCTTTCTTCCGAGATGTGGAAGAAGTGTCTTTGGCGCTCAACCGTGGGGCTAGCGAATCCATACAATGAATAAATCAAAACTCCCAGATAATCGAAACTAACGATTGAATTACTGGTAAATGGTACTATGCAAAATCAAATTTAACACATGAAAATTCAATGACAAAATAATTTTAACCAAATATGAAGTGACAGCAGAGCTGTGCTCTTCAAAGATACAGTAGTAGGGATTTAAACAAGTGTAATTAAAGCAGATACAGTTTTTAGCCAGTTAGATACTTATATATTAGGTGATTCCCTCACCCATCGGTTGCGCAGATTCAACAGGAAGTGACTTAACCCTTTCCGGTGGTTCAGGCCGAAGAGAAGGTGCAGGTTCTGGCATCGTGTGACGCTTGTGCAATGAGTCTTCAACTTCCGTTACCACTAAATAAACATGCAATAGTAATTGTTGTTTACATGCAAAAATAGATCATGAAACATGCATTTAGCTACATCATAGAAAGAATTATGATAAGGGACATGAAATTGGCAGGTCTGGTCTTTGCGAGGGACAAACCTACATGCAATTCACCAAGAGAGTGCAACAAAGTGGGACGTGTGACCCACTTCTCCGGGACCCCTGGTTTATATTACTGTATTATAAATGGTGAGCTCAGAAAGTTTTGTAACTCAAATACTAGCAGTCCTTGACTGAAAGGATTCTCATTTCTTTACTTCTACAAAATTCAAGACAATACACTTCAGACAATAAATTTAATTTCTAACAATGTGACTTAAGCACAGAAACGTGTAAATTAAAACATTTTCACAGACAGCTGCTTTGAAATATTCCCTTGGGAGACAACATGGGTACTCTGTGGTGGTTAGAGTCACAACCACAAGTATTTGTGATTTAACTGGGATGGGAGCTAAGTTTATTAACATCTCCACTTACCTTACAGTAATAAAATGTGCACCTTCACCTGTTATGAATGTTACCAATTGAATATCATACAAAACTATTGATATAGAGATAATGTAGCTGCAGACATATGGAGCAGTGTAAACATTCAATAGCAACTGATCATTCTTTTCATTTTACTAAAATATTTTGGACAATTGAAGTAAACTCAAGCTTTCAAAATTGCTATTTGAATGTTTAAAGACAGCCTAAAACGAAAGTAAGACCACAAGAAAAAGAAAGAAACAAGCACACAAGGTTACACCACAATATCAACAACAGGACAGTTAGCACGCCATACATATACAGAGTACATGTAAACCACAACCATTAGACCCTGGGCCAAGAACCTGCAGTAAGATGAGAAGCTGATTAGGACATAATCAGACAGATGCTGGGACAAGTGCCTGAGGGAAACGCACTATGTATATTGCTTCATGAAATAAGATTTAATTTCCTTTCTCAACATTGTTTTTCATGAGACAAATACTGTACCATTGGTAAGTAAGACATCCATCACCAAAAGTTGGGAGGTGCAGAACTGATGGAATAAAATTTTAAACAGAGGTTTACACAAAGCTCTGTAAATCAAACATTTTCTTGAAAAATCCATGGGTACAATTTATGAATATCATTTCTCTGCATTCCATCTGTTCTACAATGTGATGTTAGACAAACGTTGATATCTAAGCAGGACATATTTTCGAACAACCCACATGAAACAACTTAGATAGTTAATATTTTGATGATTACATGCCTGTTTGATAGACTTCAGTATTGATTTAATATTGAAAGAACAATACTGCAATGCATATTTTTTGTTTGAACAAGGAAAATAATGTTTCATGTGTGTGTTGGGTGAAAAAATATACTGCCCGGATATACATAGAATATCAAAGACAGTAAAAATATATTAATTTCTTTCACCAGCCAGAACATTTTTTTGAACAAAATGCATTAGTACAAACAGAAAAACAAGAAAATTTTACACTACAAACATGAAGCTGCATGCAAGACACAGAATGGAGAGGAGTCAAAGATTTTGTTTCAAAATGAGGACTGAGTGAGGAAAATGTAATGAGTGATGTAATGTTTTCAAAAGGATACCAGTATTGGTATTCAGATTTTGTGCATTGTTCAGTAAAATGTGCAGCAACATAAACTCTACCATGTGTTATTCAAGTCAATATACTGAAGAGGAGTAGTAGGTTATTTATTCTTAATATCTGTAATCCTCTAAATTAGTTAAAATCTAAACTGAGCAATGTATTTCTCTTGTATTTTCTATCTTACTGCAAAGAGATTCCACAACACAGAAAGGGCTTCGGTGACCTCTCTGACCTCTCGACCACATTATACAATAATAAGCTACTATAGATTAGATTAAAAAACTATACCTAACTTTCTAGAGCTAGATGATAATCTACCAAAGCTGACATGTGTGCACATCAAATAGTTATTAATAAAATCTGTCGAACCCATGCAGAATGAAAGAAATGCACCATATCTTTTTTTCAAGGAAAATTTAACCTAGGCTGTAACTTGTAAATCTTATTCAATGCTCAGCATACTACAGTTCTTCATACTGAGGCTGAGCCATGTTAATTTTTTTAGTATTAGAAGTAAAAAACAAGAACATAAAAGGAATGTAAAAGGAATGCCCAACAACTGATAATTTTTATCAATAATTGATGTATAAAAAGTGCAAGATGACGAGCGGGTGAGCTAAAGAAGCAGTGCCCCACTCACCTTCTCTAACAGTTGATCGTTCCACTTGAGCAACCATAATTTTGGTTGAAGATTTGCGTGAAGCTGTTTTTGTGTTGATGGGGTTTGATTTGTAGTGAGGAATAGGACAAAGAAAAGACATGTTTGAGAACACAATTCATGCATCATGCTAGGCTGGTTGCAACCGTAACAGGAACTGAGATAGAGGTCATGGGAGGTAGGGAATCAGCGAGGATTAATAGCATAGTTATTTAAAGAATGAAATCCGAACACAGATGCAGGGTAAGTTGGAAAAAAATTGAATTGAATTCATGATAGAGATGGAATTGTAAGCTTGAGAAGGCTCAAGTAGGAAAATGAAAACGTGACTTAAGTGATAGCTAGCAAGCATGGCTTGCATGATACGCATGGGAAAGAAAGGTGGTAAGCAAAGTGGCACAGTTCGTTTCTTGATTTTGCATAAAATGTCTAAGAACATAGTTTATGTTCATAGCGTGATCTCAATATCATCAATGGAAATTCAAAGTAATGACATTGGTATCTTGTGCAAAATTTCAAAAAACTGTTGGATGTCTGATACAAATTTGGCTCTTACAACACACAAAAAGTGATGACTCCAAACATTTTTAATGGTTAAAGGAAGGGATGGATTCTTAGATTTTAAAGAGAGACAATAGAAAAAAGAAAGCTCACCTTGTGCTTCCTGTTCAGCCTGGGCCTGCGCTGCTTCAGCTTGTGGTGATCCTGGTCCATCAGGTCTGCAAAACCATGATAAAAAGAAAATAAGGTAAACTTCAGCCTAAACAGGCTGTGCTGTTCGAACATAGATAGTAGAGTTAGCAGACCTGTCCCCGGTCCCCTGAGGTGATGTGGGAGGCTGCTGTTGCGCAGCCAAATCCTCCTCCCTTTTCCGTTCTTCTTCTTCCTCTCTCCTCTTAAACTCCTTTAATTCAAACTAGAAAAAAAGGAGGACAATTCGTAGTATGCAAAATTAGAAGTGCACCAACAACTCAAAAAGCTCTCTTCATGACACGTAATAATTAACTTACTGTTGTAAGTCTCTCCAGTGCACTAAACCTCTCCTCTTGGGCAGCAGCAGATTTTTCAAAAGCTTCGTGTTTCTTGATAAGTGCTTCCACATCATCAATTGACATCTATAAACATTACAAAAAAAAAAGATTAGATTTACTCCATGATTCAATTCTTGATCTTTTTTTTTCCCTTCAGTAACATCGTGAAACTATTAACTAACCCCAAGTTCATGTGACATGAGATAAGGTTCTTGTGCTATGAGCCAGGCCTCTGCAACAGCAGCATCTCGGGCAAACTGGTAGACCTCCAAAACTGAAAAAAGGGGAAAAGATAAAGGGTAAATCTAATGATAATGCAATAAATTGGAATTAGAAAAGCCAACTGCAACAGAAACTTTTAAGCATTAGTCAGAGAAAAGAGGAGGTTGGTCCACTTCTTCTGTAGTTAGACAGTAAAACACGCACGCGTGGTTATGGCTGCCTTACGGCTCGGACGAGTTGGCAACCCGCCCGCACGCGTGCATGCGGCAAAGTCTAGGTACAGAGTGAGTGGGGCAAATCAACCATCTGAGACACTTACTAAGTTGAAGGTTTTCCCATCTTTCCTCCCAGCGATGCAGAAGTGAAGTTCTCTGATTGTTCAGAGACAGAAGTTTCTCCTTAATCTGATTAACATGAATACACACAGAACGTACAGTAGAAATCATACTTTAAACTACCTATGTGGAGTTAACATTACTGTGGACATAACATACCTCATTTGAAGCATAATGATTACGTGAAAGCAGTTCTTTGCCTAAGGACATACAGGCAGTAAAGTTATCTTCCCTTGTATCTATTTCAGCTTTTAGACTTTGGTGGTTGTTCATTAGCAATTCTACACCACTAACATCTCTGTAGAAATAAAGAACAAAAGGGCATGAAAATCTGCACACAGAATTGGGATTTTCAATTATAATTTAGGTCAATTACAAGAAAAAATTGTGAAGTACCTTGGCTTTTCAGAAGTGTTCATTTGCCTTGCAACATCATCCATCCACAGCATTAATGTTCTAACCATGATGAAGAATTTGAACAAGTCTCCAGTGTCAGCCAACTTTTGTTTGCGACTGTCACACATATTCTGAAGATTACTCCATGCGTTAACTACCTCTGCCTCTCTGTTGGTAATTTCATTGGCCTTGTCACCAGCGTAAGATGTTTGCAATTTTTCAGATTCTTTCTGAATTTGTGAAACCTAAAAAACAAATGCATACATATTTACAACAAAGGTTATTTTTAAAAAAGCATGACAAACTTGACTGCTTCGCATTAGATTGTACCTGTGACTGTAGAGTTTGCAAGTCTTGAATGAAGTTTTGATGTTTACGCTGAAGTGCAGAAACAGAGCCTGCATCGCGCCCTAGTTCATCAGACATGGCGTGTTGCTTTTCTTGAATACGACCTAATACATCCTTACAATCATGGAAGAACTTGTGAAGCTCTCGAGAAGCCACAAGCATCTATGACAGAGAGATAATAAAATTAGAATGATGTCTTGTACTTAAGTAATAGTATGTAATACATTCTAATGACAATTAAATTACCTGAGTTCGTGTTTCAATAAGCTCTAATAGGTCCTGCCATGCTTCCAGAAGACCATCTTTCCATTCAGCAATTGTGGCGCTATCTGAATGACTTGCAGCAATGAGTGAATCAGCAATGCTGTTCACTTGAGAGACTCTCTCTGATCCAACTGCTTCCGTATCACGAGCAAATTCTTTAAATCTCTCCCATAAGAGCTGCAAAGAAAACAACATTATAGACACTAATTTTCTGCTATTAAAGGTATGCAGCAAGATGGTGAATACTACTCACAGTGACGTGGTCATAGTCCTGGCCCAGTTCATGGGAGCCAGCAACAACCTCTCTTTGTTGGATCCATTGTTCTAAGTCATCTACTTCTCTATTTAACATGTAGAGCTGCAGAGCTTCATCCAATTTAGCTCTTCTTTCACCTGCGAGGTCCTTAAGTCCAGCATACAATTTGTCTACCTGAGATTGCTTCACAGCAATCTGGTCACTGTAATAAGTAATTATTGTACACCGTTAATCAACAACTTTTTAGCTATACCTAAAAAATGATATAATGATGGATTTTAAAATTTTGTAATTATACCTGTCTGGATGCTGTTCATTAATCAACTGTTTTGCAGTGTCACCAAGTTGCCGAATAGTATTTGCGTAGTCTTCAACTGCTTGTTCTAGGCCCTCATGCTTCTTCATGAGATTTTGAGCTGAGATTTCATCTTTACCCCGGTCTTCAACCATCATGTATAATTCTTGTTCACTCATCCAAGATTCAGCTTCACTGGCATCAAAGAAGTACTGTTGTGCCTTCTCTGACTGGAGTAATTGGTTGCGCCTCTCATCAACTGCTGACTTCAACCGCTCCCACTTGGAAATTAGGTCTTCTATTAAATGCATGAATTGAGGTGTGTCTTCATGATCCTCACCAATGAGTTTCTTTCCATTGTTACAAACAGCATGAATGCGGGGTTCATGGTTGTCAATTTCATTCCGCAACGATTGGTTCTTCTTTTTCAGCATATGAACATTGAAGAGTGAGTTACCATAGTCAGTTGAAGTCGCCTGGGGCATCTTTTCTGCGATCCACAGCTTCTCGTCCTCCACATCACGACGGAACTGGAAGGCCTCCTTCTTTTTCTCCAGCTGCCTTTGCCGCTCCAAGAGGGGAGCCTTGATTTGCTCGAATCTTTGCTCGACAGCCCGCTTTTTCTCCGAGATCTGATCCATCTTCTCCGGCACGGTGCGTTGCAGGTACTCGGCCTGGGTCTCGAGCCCGGTCACCTGCTTGGCTTTCACGGCCATCTGCGTCTCGATCATCTGCTGCTTCTGCATAAGGATGTTGACAGAGGCCAGGTCCGTGCCAGTGTCCTCGCTTTCGATCTGCTTCTCTAGTTCCGTCATCCACGAGTCAATGTCGTCGCAGGTCTGGTGCATGAGGGTCTCTCGGTTGGCGTCGAACAGCCGCTCTCCTTTCTCCTTAGTGGTCCGCTCGAGGTCCTCGAACTGAGATCCGAGCTCGGAGGTCTTGGGGTCGATGATCTCGGCCAGCTCGGGCTTCTCTCGCTTGAGCTCCTCACCCGCGCGCTGCACCTCGTCTAGACGGTTCTTGTTGGAGGCGATCTCGGCCTCGAACGCCTGGTGGCGGGTCCACTTGCTGTGTACTGTCTTGGCGCTGCGGTACGTCTCGTCCTGCGCGGTGATGTTCTTTTCTTGCACCCACTGGCCGAGCTCCTCGCAGTCCTGGAGGAACTGGTGCAGCTGTAGCTGGTCTTTAAGCTTCTCCATCTGCTCCAGGGCGCGCTGCCGGTTGGCATTGCGCCGCTCGTCGATGTTCTGGGCCTTCCTGTTCACCTTGTCCGAATCGAAGTGACCCTCGTCGTTCAGTCGGCTGGCGAACTGCACCACCGAGTTGACCTTGTCGTCGTTGGCCTCCATGGTGGTAAGGAATGCCTCATGGCGCTTGATGAGGTTCTCGGCCTGCTCCAGGTTGGTCGGAGTCTCGTCCTTGCTGAGAACGTGCTCTTGCTGGCTGAGCAGAACCTCAGCCTGCTTGGCGTCGCGGTTGAACATCTGGAGGTTGAGCGACTGGCTAAGCAGCTGCTGCCTGTTCTCCCACATCTGGTAGAGCTCCTCCCAGCCATCGCGAAGGGCCTTCAGGCGCTCGCGCAGGAACATATACTGGTGGTCGTCTTGGGTGGACGGCTCGGCCGTCAAGCGCTCACCGTACTCCATCATCTTTGCGTAGTCATCCGTGTAGTTGTCGATCTCCTCGCGGATACTCTGGTGCTGACTCAGCAGCTTCTCAGCCTCGGCGAGCGAAGCGGGCGTGTCCTCGGAGGCCACGTCCTTCTGGGTCTTGGTGAGCCAGGCCTGGAAGTGGTCCAGGTCGCGAAGGAACCGGTGCAGGTCGCCGGCCTCCTCCAGTTTCGAGTCGCGCTCCTTGAGCATCTGCGTGAGCTGCTCCCAGATGGTCTGGATCTGCTCGATGCGCTGGCGGATCAACGCGGCCTCCTCGGGGTGCTCGGCGCTGATGGCCTCTGCCTCGCGGTCCAGGGCGTCTAGCTTGGCCTGGATGGCAGCCAGGTCGCGCTCCATGCCCGACAAGCGGCGCTGCAGCGTCATGACGCCCGTCAGGTCCATCTCGAGGCTGTCCGTGGACTGCAGGATGCGCTTCTTGTCCTCGATCCAGCTGACGGTCTCGCGGCACTCGATGTGGAAAGTCTGCACACCGTGCGCAGAGTTGAGCTCCTCGCGCTTGGCCTCGGCCTTCTCGCGCAGTTCCGCCCAGCCGTGGTTTAGCTCGTTCTGGCGCGCGTGGATCTGCTCCGAGTTGGGGTGTTCGACGTGCAGCAACTGGCGCGCCAGCTGGTTCACCACGGCGACGCGCGACGCGTTGGCATTCATCTCCTTCTCGAAGCCGTCGTAGCGGTGCTTCATGATCTCCACGTCCTCGATGTCCTTGGCGGGCACCATGGTCTGCAGCATGCGGTCCTTCTCCCCGATCCACTGCTCCACGCCGTCCGACTCGCTGAGCAGCTTGTACAGGGACAGCGCGTCGAGCAGGCGCTGCTTGCGCAACTTGGCCAGCTCGTTGAGCTCCTTGTAGCGGTGGTCGATGCTGGCCAGCCGCTCTTGCACCTCGGGGGACTCGCGGTCGCGCTCGCCGAGGGTTCCGGCTTGCTGGTGCAGCGCTTCGATTGCCGTGGAGTAGTTCTTGAGCTCGTCCGTGACATCCTTGTGCTTCTTGAGGAGCGACTGAACGTTGGCCTCGTCGCGACCCACGTCCTCGCTCGACACGAGGCGCAGCACGTCCAGCATCCAGTGGTCCACGTCATCCGCGTCCGCAAAGAACCGGTGGAAGTCGACGGCCTCCTCGAGGCGACGGCGGCGCAGCGCTGACTGGTCCAGCAGGTGGCTCCACTGGCCCAGGATGTCCTGAAGCCGGTCTTCGATACGCTTCTTGCCGAAGTGCTCCTGGCGCACGAGCTCTTCGCCCACGGCCATCACAGACACGAGCTGTGGCTCGTGGCTCGAGATCTCCGACTCCAGTGCCTTGTGCTTGGTGAGCAGCAGGTGGATGGTGGTCAGGTCGTGACCGATGTCACCCGTCGACACGATGTGCTCCTTCTCCTTGATCCAGTTCTCCTCGTCGGCCATGTCCCAGTAGAACTGCCACAAGCGCTTGCTCTCCTCGAGGCGAGAGCGCCTCTCCACGGCCAGCTTCACCAGCTCGGCGTAGGCATTCTCCAGCTGCTGTACGCGGTCCACCACGATGGTGGGGTCGCACGGCTTATAGCCCTCCACGCCCTCCAGACCCTCGTCCAGGAAGCGCTGCGACTGCTGCACCACGGCTTTAACGCGCTCGCCCAGCACGTTGATGTCGGCCTCGACCAACGAATGCTTCTGCAGCAAGTCCTCCACGCCCATCAGGTGCTTGCCGTAGTCGTCTGACAGCAGTAGCATCTTCATGTCCTCCATGGAATCCAGGATATACGTCATCTCCTGCAAAGTATAACAAAAAGGACAACGTTAGGTTTGTCTCGATGGTTAAGTTACATCAGACATCAGACGTCAGGATGACTATTACGTCAAGCGAAAAACTGGTAATATTTTTAACTGTATACTGAAGGCCAGGCAGGTGAGCAAGTGGCTTTGCCTGCAGTCACCATGGCGCCTTGTGACCATCAGTAGGCAACCCAGACACAAGCGCGCATGCGGCATAGTATAATTATAATTAATTATAATACAAAATGTTCAGGGTTCCGTAGGCCACCCTTCAAGACGTTGTGGGTAGCCAAGATTTAAACAACCGACTCACCTGGAAGCTCTGCTGCAGCTGCAGGGACATCTCCAGGCGCAGGCGGCGCGCGCGGAGCAGCTCCAGCAGGTAGTTCCAGAGGCGCAGCACGTTGTCCTTGCGCGCGTTGATGCGCGCCATGTCGTGGTAGTTCTCGGCCTCCAGCTCCTGGCTGACGGCCACCACGGCCTGCACGCGCTCCTCGTAGGCCAGGATGTCCGTCTCGATGGCCTCGTGCTTCTTGGCGGCGGCCTCCACGGCGGCGAGGTCGAAGCCGAAGTTGTCCTGCGAGACGAGCCGCTGGTTCTCGCTGAGCCAAGTCTCCCTCATGCCCGCCTTGCGGTTGAAGCGCGCGGCGAGCTGCTCCAGCTTCTCCTGCCGGATCAGCTCCTCGCGCAGCGCCAGCTCGCGCTCGTGCTCCGCCTTCTCCAGCCGCTCCCAAGCCTTGTTGATGTCCGAGATCATCTTGCCCTCGCGGGGCGTGTACGGCTTCTGGTTGTTGGCGCGCATGCGCGACTGCAGCGTGAAGAGCAGCACCTCCAGGTTGCCCTTCTCCACAAACTTGGGCGGCTTCTCGACGGTGCGGTAGTTGCTGAACTGAGCCAGCTGCTTCTGCACGCCCTCCAGCGAGTTGGCGAACTTGCGCTCGCCCAGCGCCGCGATCGTGGTCTCGATCCACAGCAGCAGTTCGCTCGTCAGGTTCTCGTACTCCTGGATGGTGCGGTCGTTCTCCAGCGCGATGCCCACCACCTTGCCGATACGCTTGCCCTGCACCGTCTCCTGCTTCATCTTGCTGAAGTAGTGGTAGTAGGTCACGACATACGTGATGATGGACTTTTCGTCGGGCTGGTCGACGAACACGTCCTCGGCGTCCAGCAGCTTCAGAAGACCCAGCTTGTCCTCGGCCACGTTGAACGCGTTGTTCAGGTTGTACATGGCGTTGGACTTGGAGAGCTTGTCGAACTGGATGAGATCGGCGCGGTGCTTGTGGATGATGGCGTTGAAGGCCAAGCCGTCGCGCCAGGAAGTCGTGAAGTTGCGCACATTTACGTTGTGGTAGCCAGCCGTCTTCATCTGACACCAGAGCAGGAGAGCGTCCTTGGCAGACTTTGTCTCTTGGTTGTCAGTCTCTTCGATAGTGATGTCTTGAATCTGGAGCAAGAAAAGAGAAAGGGTAAGTCAAGTTGTGCAGACAAAGACAAACATTCATGATAATCTTAAAGACACAGACGCAGTTCTAGCCTTACCTGGAAGCGCAGGATGATGGTCCAGATGAGACCCAGGGACAGGCGGGGGTTGCCGTCCACAATGTCGTGCGAGCCCATGTTTTCTAGGTGCACACGCTGCTCCCGCAGGAATTGAAGTGCCTTATCTACATTTTCTAGACAGTGAATTCGCATCTTGCCTTTGGTCGGCCGCGGCTGGAGGAAACGGAAGATTCATTAGTCGTGGCGCTTTCAGTAATTCAGTGAAATGGGGTTATGCACTGTCCGAAAATACTCACTAATCTTTCTCCGGAGAGTACTTCTAGGAGTTTAAGGAGGTTCTTTCCGTCTCTCATGTCGATATACAGATCGCTGATGCGCGAGTTGACGCGCACCAGATGTGAGTTGACCCATTTTTGGAAGGTCTTTTTCTGTACACTTTCTCGTTCGTCTGCAATCACACAACACACGCATTTGTTAAGCAATATTCACGCCGATCCACACCCAACGCACTTCCAGGCCCTCCGACGCACGATTTCCCTCACACCTTTGAGGTGGTACACAACCCTCTCGTACAGTTCGGCGGGGTAGTTCATGTCGAAGCAGACGGCGCTGTCACCCTCCCAGTCCCAGTCGCCCTCGCCGTCGCCGTCGCGGTAGTGGTGCAGGCGGCGCTCCCAGCAGCGCTCCACGTCGCTGGCGCGGCGCAGGCCCAACACGGAGGGCCCCGCCGAGGAACCCGGGTCCGGGGCAAGTACCACGGCCACCGCCACCTGCCGCACCGGACGGCGCACCACCCTGACCTCGGGCACCACGTCCACGTCCACGTCCACGTCCACGACCACGTCCACGACCACGTCGGGCACCAGGTCCGGCACCACCCTGGCCGGCCGCGCCCGCGCCTTGACCCAGCCGCCGGCGCCGAGGGCGCTCAGGGCGCTCATGCCCGGGGGTGCGGGCAGGCTCGGCGAGCGGCGGCGCGCGACTAGCGGCGCTCATCTCGTCGCCAGTGGGTCGCCTCCTCATTAGCAGGCCGGGCGGCAGCCTGTCGCGGGGGCCGACGGGCGAGGTGATAATGCCGGTCCACTGTCGGCACGGCGGCGATTTATTTCGAGAATGAATGACATCGATCCGACATCAATCAAATCCACGTCCTACCCTACCCGGATCAAAAGTCGGATTTCGGAATGCTCACTGGGGTTCGAACAGGAGCGACCCACCCAGGCTCCACGCACCGACAGCAGATATGCATCCATTTAGCAACTCCATGCATCTGGGCACTGATACTTCACCTATTCACGGGACGGGAAACCGGACTTTGTTGTGGTGATAAACTCTGTTCGACGGGCCTCACTCGATAGCTGATATAGAGAATCCTATACCTTGAATAGAGCCAGTACAGCAAGTACAGGTTGTGAGTTGATCGGACTTTGAATTTTAGCTTACTGACTGAACAAAGTTGACCGTAAAAAGGTCAAAGAGGGCCTGGCCAGGCAAATGGCCTCAGCGCGCCCTGCAAGCGTATTTTCTGCCGGCGGTGAAGCAGCGAGCGACCGGACGCGCACGCCCACCGCGGAGTGGACCGACGGAACGCCGAGACCCCGCCCCTCAGCGCCCCGCAGTGACGACCCCCCCGCCCCCCACCCCCCCTCACACCGAGCTACCGACCATTCACGTCGATCCACTTACTCATCGCAACAAAATCAAAACCCATGAGCCAGCCTTTTAGCCTAAATATCGAAAATTTTGAAATATTCTTATTCGATGAAAGGCTTTACAAAATAAAACGAATGAGAGACGTCGGCTTAAACGCCGCGCCGGCACCCGAACGAGCGCGCAAAGTCACATCCCGGACGCCCCCCTCCCCCATTTCCTTGCGCTCTTCGCTAACGACTCCCCTAGGGCCCCGCCCATTTCCCGAATGCATACTCGGCCTAGCTGCCCCGGTCCCTCGGCCAGGCCGCCAGGTGCGTTCGCTCGGCTCGCCTCGGCTGTCGTGGCCGGGAGCGCCGTGCGGGTAGGCCACCGCGCCCACCCCGACGCAGCGCTGAGCTGCGCGTTGCCTAGCTACTCACCTGCTAGCGCCTTGATGCGCGATCGTTCGAAGAGTCGCGACGACGAGTTTCCGCCATCATACTCGTAGTCCTCGACGATCTCCTGCTGGAGCGTCGGGTCCCACCGGACCAGGGATATGTCTGTCGTCATGGTGATTGGGGCGGCTGAGGGTTACACCTGCGGACACAAGGGAGAAAAGAAAACATGGTTAGAACAAACTAAGTCAGAGGAAGTTTCGAGGACGGATTTACACTTGGGCCAGCAACAGTGCCCTGCCCAGGGGCGGGTGCGGTCGCGTGCGAGGCTATGCAAAGGACTCTTCAAAGTGCCGCTGCCGAGTCAAGCCAAGCAGGGGCAGAGCCGGGCCGAGCCGGGCCGAGCTGGAAAGGTCATAAACAGGACTTCCCGGCCACGCCAGGCTCGCTCCACATTGCACGCGGCCACGCCACGCCCGACGCCAAGAAAGCTGGGCGGGAAAGAAAGGCTTGAATCACACAGACCGGGCCAGGCGCGTGAGAGGCCGAGGTGCAGCTCGGAGCGCACACGGCAAAAGGTAAGAAGCGCTCAAACTTTAGGGAACTTCACACAGAATTTAAGAACTCGCGTAAAAGGGTATCTCCTCTCATAAACGACGTTTGGGCTTGATAACTTGGGGCAGTGTCTTAATTTTTAAGGTAAAATTTGAGGAAGGTATGTCATAAAATAACGGCACAACTTTTCCAATTTATCAGGAGCCACCCATCTCGAGAAACACTCCTGACCCCTGAGTTCTCCTAAAATCCTGAAGAAAGTTTCCTGGACACGACGAGTGCGGGGAGAAAAGAAAAGGAGAATGGTCCACAAAACCAAGGGATTTTAGTACCAGGAGCAGCACTAACCGCATTGCGGACCGGGCTGAGCAAGAGGCCCCTCGTCGCGCGGCCGATACGGACGATACCGGTGCGGTGATCACATGGGAGGGGCCAACCAACCAACCTGCCTCCCGCCCGACCTACGACCACGCCGAGGCCTTTAGGACCTAAAGCACAGCGCGGCCCGTGAAGAAGCCGCTCCGCCCGGTCCGTCGGGCCCGGCCCACTGGACCAGAAGTGCAGGACCCGCCGCGCGCCGCCGCGAGGCTGACGTCACCGCGTGCAGCAGCGAGGCCCGGGCTGGGCACAGCATGCGTGCCAGAGGTGACGTCAGCGGAAAATGGGCAGGACACGTGTGCCGCGGGCCTGAGGACAGGGGCGAGGACCGGGTGCGGGATCGAAACGGCGAGCACTTGAATGCGTCCTCGGCCCAGGGACGGAATAAGGTCCGACTGGGTTGCCTGCATGACAGGGAGGTTGTATAGCAAATTGTCTATCTGACAGGCGGCAGGAGGATCACTGGAAACGACCGGAGGGAGGTGGGGAGGAGGCTCGCGGCCGCCTCGGCTCTCGTCCTTGGACTGCCCTCCGGTCGGACACTCGGACAGACTGGGAGGCAGAGGTGGGCACAGTGAGGCAAGACTTGCTCGATCATCGTAAAGGTGCACGGCAAGCGGTCGGGCGCGGGCCCTTCGGCGAGGAGGCGCTCTGGCAACACGGCCCCGCCCGCCCCACCCCCTCCGCGCGCTCCATTTCTCAGTGCCGGTGGATCGGACGGTCGCGAGCGCGTGGGAGCGCCGCCCCTGCAGAGGCATGCCCCGCAGGCGCCACGGGCCAGGGCTGGTGTCGCGTCTCCGCAGGGGTAACTCAAGACCGCGCACGAAGCAGGAGGGCGGGGAAGGGGAAGGGATGAGGGGAGGGGGCAGTACCCTCCATTAGCGACCCGCTGGAAGCAGAGTAAAGCCAAATGACGTCGCTGTGATGTTTGGGGGGACGCCAACTTGACAGCGCAAAGAGGAGTCGAACAAGAACTACACAGGACATGTCGTCGGCCCACCTCCAATAGCCGGTCCCGTTCGCCTCGCCCCCTCTCCCCCTTTTCTCCTGCTCCTCGTCAAGGCCACGCACGTGGCCACGGGGCCTGACAACAGCGGCGGGGGCGGGCAGTGCGGTGCGGTCCTGGGGCACTGTCAGACGCTGAACGCCCCCCCCCCCCAAATGATGATCATACGCCTCCTCGCTCGTTCCCTCAAAAGAGAACTCGATCTGTATGCGATGAGAGAGAAAGTCCAGATGCCCGAACCACAGCGAGAGGGGGGCGGTTCCCACGGGTGCGGCTCAGACGAGGCGCTGCAGGGGCAGCCTCAGACACAGCCGGGAATCACCGGGCACCATCGGGTTCGGGCACCATCGGGCACCATCGGGCACCATCGGGCACCATCGGGCACCTGCTAGGTGCTCACTTGTTGCTCCGCGCAGTCGATCGCGTCCACCAAGCGCGTGCGGCCACCAGAACCACACACACGTCGGGGACGCGGAGGCATCGCGAGTGAAACATGACGCGCCCCGCCGCCATCTGACCCACCGAGAGGAGGAAGTGACGCAAGTCGTGTACAGTGAGTGGCGCCCCGACACCGCGCATCACCGGCTGGGCTCGCTCAAAGGAGCCCATGG